AAAATAAAACCCTTTGTCATTAGATAAAATACTCAGATTCGACAGTGCTCCACATTATGTGGCGGACTCCATGATTTGTCAATTTCCAAAATTCCCATCCGTATCCACAGACTTCATTTAAAAAAAACTAAACAAAACACTGAATACAGTTTAGATCTTGTTCCACCCCTAGTAAATTGTCATTTTCCGAATATATACAGCAAAAAAATAAATCACCAGTTAAATCATAACTTCTCTAAAACCGTTTTCTTCCCCCTTATTTTTCTTGAAAGACTCTTCAGAGTGCACACACATCATCTGCAAGATCAGCTCAGGCTCATGTTTTTTTCAAGTGCTCAAATTGCATGCAACTACTTTCCTCCCCACCTCCACCCACCCTGCTGCATCTGTGCATTGGTAGCCAAAGACAGATATCTCCCTTGACAAGATTTCTTTCCAAATCCGGTGCTTTTAAGTGCAGGTGGAATAATGCTGCGTTAGCTGCTAATGGCCGTCCGAGAGGTCATAACTACTCCGCTTGAAGAGGGGAGGCCGGTTTCTCCGCTGCACCATGGCAGGTCAAATCAAATGTAATTGCACAGTGAAAGCGGAACGCCTGCGCTTCGCGTGTTGGGCTCCGCTGACAACATCCAGGTTTAGCATTCGGTTCCCCTGCTGGGAGGAACAAGGACAAAGGCTTCACCTGTCAATATATCACACTGACTGGCCAGCAGAACGCTCTCCTTCTTTCACTCATTCCTGTTAAAGCCTCCTCCGCCCCAGACTAAGCCTCACCCATCCATCCATCTTCGACCATCTACCTCTCACTCCCCTCCATTCTTCCCTCTCTGCCTGTCTTCCTATTTCCTGCAGCTCTCTCTGAATTTGTGTGAGCACTCGGCGTAAAAGTCCTGAGGGAGCCGGTTTCAAACACAGGAACCAGAAACATATGGCACATTTTCAACTCCCAAGGTCAATTACAGCTATTTATCCAGAGATTGCAGCTAAATTTCCCAAGGTTTCTTCTAGATTTACAACAGATTGCAATGTGTGTCTGTCACATTTTCGAATCAGGCCACTTCCCCTCCACTCCCTGTGACTTTTTTCTTTCTTTCCGTCAAACATTTCAAAGGCTTTGGAGTGTGGATTTATTTTTTCATCGATGGCTTATCTCTGGTTATCATGGTTCCATCTTTTTTTTTCTTTTTTTTTTCCCCATGCCAGGTCCAAATGCCTCTTGCAACGCAAACCTAATAACATGTAAATTGGAGATAAGCCCAGATCCCTCCAAGTGATTTTTTTTTTTCACATTCATACTTTGTCAAGTCAATTCTTGGGCTCCTGTTTTAGTAGCACAACACATGAGGAGTGAGAAAATTAACTGGATAGGTGATTCATCATTGCTACCACACTGTCAAGGACTCCCTCTGCAGCTATTGAGAGCAGGGTGGAGGCGGAGGACGGAGAGAGTGTTGGTGGAGGACGGAGTCGGGGGGTGCTGTTGTTTTAAATTATGGCATTTCATTCAGAATGCATTGTATTTACAGTGTCCCATTTTTATTTGTGGCTCCTATTATCCACCGAAACAGTTGTGCATGAAATGTTATTTGTGACAAGGGGTGACCCGCAAGTGTTTTTTTATTTTTATTTTTTTTATTTCTGTGCAGTATTTCTTAGTGAGAAGGCGCAGGGTGGGCCGGGGAGGGAACTGAGGATGGGGAGACCCTATCTGTTCCCTCGCTGAACGGTAAGCACCAGAGGCTTTTGCAGCTGCTGCTGGCAGTCTTTCCGGCGCAGAAATATCACCTGGAAACAGAGCATTCCACTCTACTCCATCCCCCCAGCCCCCAACGCTCCCAACGCCTGTCGCTGTAATTAAGTTGAAGTCAATGATTGCGGAGCGATGCTGAGAAGTAAACATGCAAACGCATGCCAAGGTTTGGAGCCAGGCAGAGGGAGGAGAGCGATGGGGACCTATAGGCATGGGCCAGCACAGCATGATGACCGAGAATAAAACGCAACGGTGTAACCGCATTAAATAACTGATGATAATCAAATAACTGATTATTTTTTTGTGTGTTTTTTCCCTATGAATTATAAATATGCCACATTCATACACTTTATAATATCCATGCCCAACATTTAGCAAAAGTTTTAGAGAAAAAGCGTATAGCTTTACGCAATGTCGTGAGTTTAAGTGAGAAATGCAATAATGAGCCCTGTTGCTACAGAAAATAATATATCCGCTTGATTATAACTGCACTAAATGTGATCTACTATAACATAAATTTAAAAAGGAATTTAAAAAAACAGTATTAGTTTTCCAGTGAGAATATTATACTTTTCTATCGTTTGTGATATTTTTCAAGTAAAACTGCGAGCGTAACAAACTGATATTCGCTGGTAAATCAGTCAGGCTGTCTGCTCCGGTAGCCTGCAGTCAGCCGCTTCGCAGATATTCCACATGTAGCCAACCCAATATAGTTTTCAAACACCATTACCTCAACAAGAGTGGTTCTGAATGGTTCTCCTCAAGTTTCCAAAACATAACCGTCTGTTTTTATCAACTGGAATTATCTCTGACGAGCTTCTTCTGTTTTTTTCCTGTGAACGAGGGGAAAGTGACGGTCAGCCAGCTGACCTACAATGCAACATGTGGAATAGAAGCAGCTGCGTGCTGCTTTGTGCTCCATACTGAGGCACCTCAAGCTTTAATAGTCGTGAAAATCACCTTAAACCGTAGGAAAATTACGTGAAATGTTCATTTTCGAAACTGTAAGTCTTTAAAATCTCAGTACACCCTTATAGCGGCGAACGATTAAAGCCTAGAGTTGGGTGAGAGCCTGCTGGGTAAGGAGTTGGGGGGAGGTGCAAGCCCTATTCGACTTGCCTGGAAACCGCAGATCCAGATCTTGTTCTGTTAAAATTTACATTTAGTTTCATTAAGCGCCGTTTGATTGCATTGATTAAATTAGCCACCCATTAGCTCCGTATTTCTTTCCTCTCCCAAACGCCGGTACTTATGCATCGCTCCTGGTGGAAATGTTATCTGACAAGAGGTGCTGTACGGTGGCTGGGAGTCTGTCGAACACAACGTGCTGTTTGCTTTTCCCAGAGCATGACAGGTTGTTTCCCCCCCTGCAACAAAGCCATCAAATATTCCCTGTGATCCAACATTTGTGTTGGGAGGCGAGGCCTGCTGAGTGGGAAGCCGGAGTTTGTTAAAGCAATGATTTATGATTAATGCCAACACTAAATAAGGGACAAAGTGCCTACAGTACAAATCAATTACAAAGCCAGAACAGCGGACCTTTCCCTGAGGTCTACTAACGTCTCTAGTTGTTATGGTGATTTTATTGGAGGTGGGTGATGCATGCATACATATAATGCACGCGGTATGTCTGTATTAACCCGATCCAGAGCCAGGCGCAATGCTTCTGATCTTTGATTAGTTACATTTATTGAGATAAAATGGGACTTCCATGTTGCTCCGCTGTGCAGGTAGAGACGGCGCGTTTCGCATCTCCCGAATCTCGACGCCCACCTCAGGAAAACAAACAAAAAAAAAAAAGCAGGACTGCTGCAGATGAAATAAATTACCGCAGGAGTGCCTTCTTAAAAGTAGGCAATTCATTATTTTTATGAAGTCAAATTATAAACAAATTTTAATCCATTAGGCAACCATCCATTCTAATTAATCAACAGTAGTGAACTCCATCTGAAAAAGGGAGAAAGGTTGTTTGCTCTCTCTACGGACCAGCGGTGCGTATTTTACCAACTTCCCCATTCACTACACACACACACACACGCATACACAAACACAGAGAGAGAGAGAAAAAAAGCAAAAAAAAAAAAAAAAAAAAGTGTTCTCCAAATTACAAACCTAAACTGTGAATCCGAACACTCGACTTTTGGCGCCGGGATGTTTCCAGGGCATTTGCAGATGCTTGAAATAATCTCCAATGTTTTTGCTCAATCTGCTCTGAGGATGGGTGAAATAAATACTTTAAACTAATTAATGTAAGACCAGCTGTTCCCAGCACTTGGCTGGCGCTGGTGAATATTGATGGGAGGAGGGAGAGAGAGAGAGGGGGAAACGGCGGGGGCTGCTCAGCTCCGCTCGCTGTTTGTACAAGATTCAGGCTGCCACATAAACAGATATGAATACTGGATGAGAGCGGGAACCGCCAGCTTTTCACTCCATACCTAAAACTCCCCTCCGCCCACCAACCCAACCCAACCAACTTTGCATTCAATTAGCATTCAAAAGAATTAATAGTACAGACATGCAGCGCGTTCAATAAGAAACGTCTTTCACCGGGATGGTAGCACTTACATCCTCTTGGCTTAATAAAAGCTCACCGGACGAAAACATGTGTCAGATCTAATGTGTCAGTGTCTGACATACTGTTTTAGTTTAAGCAAGCTGTACATGTGTTTGCCTGGTCTGCCTCCTGCTCGCCCTCCCTTCCTCCCTCTGCTCCTCTTCCTCTCCACCGAGGCCCGGTGGAGAGGCTGGACAGCAGATGGCAGGGCCCTACCCCTCTGCCAGTGATGAATGGAGGATGATGTCATCTTAGGTTTGACAGGCACCCGAGCGTGTGCGCACAAAGCAAGCCCGACTCTCTGGGGTCAAATGCCGGCTCTGCCCCCCCTCTTACCCTACCATATCTCCATTTTTGGAATCCGCATGACATCTCTTAAATAGGTCTTGCTGCTGGATTTATGTTTTTGCTTGATATTGTTTAATACCTTATGCAAAAAAAAAAAAAAAAAGAGGGGCGGGGGGCTTTAGAAGAAATAGCACAAAGGAATCTCCATGTTTTGTTTTGTTTTTTTTTTTCGTTTTGTGAGGTGAGGAACATTCGGACTGGCTCCTGCCGATCAGCTCAATCCCGTTCGTTCCTACTTTTCAGCCCCGACGCGCGTCGTCGACAGCCAAAGGCGCCCCACGTTTGTTTTGTTTTTTTTTTTTCTGGTACCCAGTCTGAGCAAATGTTTGATCTCACTTTTCGTTGCAGAAGACAACTCCATGAGCACTCCAACAGCGAGAGACAGCTACGAGAGGTTGTCACTGGCCGGACAGACTCTGCCTCCGGGCTTTCCGTCGCCATTTCTCTTCCCAGACGGCCTGTCATCGATAGAGACTCTTCTCACCAACATACAGGTAACTGTCTCCGCTCTGAGTCGGGGAACCTTACATCGTCTTGTCGCAGTTGGTGTCGTCTTCCCTCGTTCGTTGGTTCACGTTCATGTTACGCCAAAGGCTCTGTTGCTATATTTTAATATAATCTAGAGGAGAATGTAAATAAAGTACATCAAGGACTTAAAAAAAATAACTGCAATTAATATTAAACACAAGAAAATGCATAACTATGTGGCAAAAAAAAAATCAAAACGGCAGTATGGAGTATCAAAAATGTTCCAACTGGATGACTGAACTTTGCTCTTGGGTTCTGCTTTTTTTTTTTTTTTTTTTACTGATTCCGAGAACAGAAGTTTTGCAAAATCCCTGCAGATCGTCGCACGGATATCTACATGTAGATATCTGTGTGCGATATCTGCATATATAAACACATAGATAAGAAGGTAGCAGCCCAAGAAGGAAGTAGCATGTAAAAAAGCATTCAATGGGAAAGTTTGCGGACAAACAGTGACGGTGATATGGTATCAGCTTACAGACAATAATCACGTACATGCAGGTCTGGGGAAGTTTGGGGAAAGAAAAGAGCATGGAAAATTGTTTGATTCCTTATTCGACGATCTAACAGTTGGATTCAGCCAGTCAACCACCCTACCATCGCCAGCTGTTTTACAATCAAGTTTTGGATTTATAGTTTAAAAACAGACCGAAAACTGGAAATGTTTGCAGTTTGGGTTGGTCGACTCAACTAGGTCACCAGGTTTTTGTCCACATCTGAAGGCTTTCCGCGCCACCAGCTGCCGTTGCATGCTCGAGACCGTGTAAGGGCAAATATCCGCCTTGAAAAAAGTCATTAGCATCTTCCCTCGGTTTCATTCAACAAATGGGGGAGCAGAGATCCACTCACACGCCGAGTGCTGTTTCGGCTTTAGCTCAAAGCCCCTCAATCAGAAAGATGAATGTATTTGCCTTCTCTCTGGGTGTAATGATGTGTGTACCCTGCTGCCCTTCTCGTTGCACTTGTTCGGTTGGCATCAGAGTCCCGCTTCTCCTTTGGCTCGGCGCGGTAATTAGAGAGCCACAACCGAGCCCGTCGCGAGCTCCCAACACTCCTCTTAGTCATCTTTGATAATGATCCTCAGAGTGAATATTTATATACAAATCAACACAATAAACCAAGCGGAAAATTAAGATAAAGCAACTTGATATAAATTGGGGTTAGAAGAATCAACAATTAGTAAGATATAGTCCAGTACATTTGGCGTAATTGCATGTGGATGGGGAATAATTGTGATGAAACTGGCTGTGTTGCTGTGGGGTTTTTACTTAAAGGAAGAGGATGAAACAATTGGGCTTTCTGGGAGCTTTCTAAGTGGAGGCATGTAATGCTCAGCGGCGGCAGAGAGCAGTCAGAGGAACCTGAGTCCGGAGGATGAGGAAGGTTCCTTTGATTCAGGAGTCAAGTTTTAAAAAGATGGCAAAATAGCTCTTTCTAAGCAATTTACAGTTTATAGTTTACATAGAGGTAGTGGGGTGTTGTCACTGAAGACCTGCTGCGAGTTCTATGTTAAAAAAAACAAACAAATTAAATAAAAGGGACTCGAGAATTTTTAGATGGAAAAGTGAGCGTAACACTCGTAAAGTTGATCATCTAAATTTCAGGTCTTCGCAAGTGTTGTATATTTCCGTATTTCTCACGACAAGTCTTAGGTCTGAGTTGCTAAGTTGGTTGTGTTCATTAATTGTTCTCGTCAAGCTTGCTTGTATCCATTTAGATTGCAGGAAATGTAGGAAATTGGTACGCTCCACGATGACGTCTCAAACGTTCGCAGGTAGTGCACTCTGCTCTGCTCACAGAATGAGCGCAGTACGCCCGAGGATGTGGGAGACTTTAGCTCTCACTGCAAATTTGCAACAAAACAAAAAAAACATAATACTATGTAATAGAGCTGCACTCACATGCAAGTCAAAAAACACTTAGCTATGTTAAGATATTTTTAAGTAAGTTTAACATTGGATAGTAGGTAACTTAATTTATTAGGCCTAATGGTCTTAAAAAGTCTTAAATTAAAGAGGCCTGGGACCAGCTACTACCTTGACTCTCTATGAGAATTTCCCCTGGATTTTCCGAGCTGAGATTATCCTTACTCTTTTTTTTTTTACAGTCAGAATTATCATCCGACTACTTAAAACTACTCAATAGGACGTCACTTCAAAAAAAATCCAAAGTATCCCTGAGACAAGGCTGTTAAGAGCCTGATTTGAATGTTGTTTAGCTGAATGAATCCGTTTAATCCAGTTTGTTTTAGGGGATTCCTGTACAGGAAGTTGCAAAAAAGCCTAAAGCAGAAGTAGTTTGACAGTTAGAAAAACTTTTTTTTTTCTCCTTTTCCATCCAGCTTTTCTTACCTTCGATTGGTTCAAGTGTGGCGCCTTGCAAAAGTATTCCTGGAACTTTTTGCGTCTTTTCCCGATTAAAAACGCAAACTTCGGTCTGTTTTATCAGGCTGTCTTGCGATGGATCAACACAAAGCTAAAATCTTGTTGCGTCCATCTATTTCCAGTTCCATCATTTAATCGTCCTGATAACATACGCATGTACGTTTCTTTCTTTTTTATGTTATTTATTATTTTTTTTATTTATTTGGTGCAGGGCCTGCTCAAAGTGGCGATTGACAACGCTCGGGCCCAGGAGAAGCAGGTGCAGCTGGAGAAGACGGAGCTGAAGATGGAGCTGTTTCGAGAGAGAGAGCTCAGGGAGACTCTGGAGAAGCAGCTCGCCATGGAGCAGAAGAATAGAGGTACCGCCTGACACGCCGTCCTCCCTGTTAGCCTTGTGTTTGTTTATACGGTGGGGGCAGGCATGCGTAACCCGTTCAGGCTCCTGTCAACCGTTTAGGTACAGGAGCTCCTGAATGTACTTACACCGCCCTCTGCGTTGCAGGAGACACTCATAAGCCACTCTGAGCCTCCTTGGTTACACGTGAAACTGATAGTTTTTTTTTTTTCTTCTTTCTTTCTGCTCGTAGTCTGTTAACATAATTGAAAATACACATCCCATCCAGACTCGCACTAACCCTCATGTAAAATGCATCAGAGTCGTACGCTAACCGGATCGTTTATGTTTAATGAGAGAAATTCATGAAAAATATCCCAATAAATTTTTCAATTAGCTTCAGTTCCCTCTAGCAAGTCAGTATTTGCTCCGATTTTCCCATTTAAATCTTTATATATTATGAAATATTTAAGTTTAATTGATTTTCGCTTTTCTATAATTGAGTGCTAAATTTAAAAGACAAAAAAAAAAAAAAAAGGCTATTATCTTTGTCAGCCAGAACGGGCTTATAATCAAATTTAAAAAGAAAAAAAAAAATGCTTTGCCTAATTTGCTTCCAGAGCTCATTTATTGTCACTGTGATATTTATTTTTTGTTGTTGTTAGCAATCATCCAGAAGCGTCTGAAGAAGGAGAAGAAGGCCAAGAGGAAACTGCAAGAGGCTCTGGAGTACGAGTCGAAAAGGAGGGAGCAGGTGGAGCAGACCCTGAAGCAGCCATCGCCCTCAGACAGCATGCGCTCCCTCAACGGTCAGAAAGCACCAAACTTCACGCTTTAGCCCCTTCTGTGTCTCAGAAATGTTTGTGTTTGTGTTTGTGCAGCGCCTTGCATAAAAAAAACATCCACACCCCTTGAACTTCTTCACATTTTCTCACGTTCCGACAGTAAAGTTCAGTGTGTTTTATTGGGATTTTGTGTGACAGACAAACATAAAGCAGCACATAATTATGGTAAACCTTTGCTACTGCCGGTTAGGCTTCGGCAGTCCAGGCTTCCTCCCAGGATTGCTCCGTTTTTAGCTCCATCCGTCCTCCCCGTCCCTTTTGAAGAGAAGCGTCTCTGGAGGATGATGCTGCCACCGCCGTGTGTCACAGTGGGCAGGGTGGCGTTCAGGCCGGTGTGCATTGTTTATGACCAAAAAGTTTGGTTTTGACCTCACTGGACTAAAACCCCCGTCTTGGTTCTATTGTATGTGCTCCTTACAAACTGCAGTGGAACTTCTTTTCTGCTCACCACTGTTTCATGAAGGAGTATTTGTGGGTTTATCACTAACACTCACCTTATTTTACACAACCAAGAGTATGTTCATGTTCTAGACAAAAATCTGTATTCAAAACTAAATTGAAACGGTGACAGTGTTCCATTAAAGATGTTTTTTCCTGTGAATCCCTGCAGCTCCTCCAAAGCTACCATGACTTTCTTCACCGAGTCTTTGGTTAATGCTCTCCTTGCCTGACATTGATTTATTCCACTTAGCAGTAATGCTCTGCTTTACTTTGACCTGACACACAAATCCCAATGATGTACGTTAAAGGATGTAGCTTTCATCTGGCAAAAATGTCAGCAGGCAGGAACATTTCGCAAGGCACTAAATTAAATACGTTCACTGTACAAAAACAAAACAAAAGACTAGCAGGGGAAATGTTACTTTCCTTTGTCACTATTTACTTCATTAATTACTGAGTCCCTCCTGCTATTGTCAAACTACCAACTGTTTTGATCACAATTTGATCCTCCGATTAACCGTTTAGATTAACCTCTCATCTCTGAATGGGCTCTTTCGACTAACCAGTTGTCAGCACAGTTAGGTGAAAACATTAAAAAACTGGGTAACACTTTATTTGAAGGGGTGACACTATCATAAACATGACATAACACCTGTCATGAATATGAGGGAGTCTTGGTGAATATCTACGACTGTTGTCATGAAGTGTCATTCGGTAAATGATGACGCTTTTAATTCAAAGTTGTGCTAAAACCTGCATTAAATGTCCATTAAAAGTGTCAACTTTGCACCAAAAGGGCCATTATTTACCGAATGACACTTCATGACAACAGTCGTAGACATTCACCGAGACTCCTTCATGTTCATAACATGTCATGTTAAAAAAGGTGCCAACAAATGTGAAGGGCTGCTTTAAAACAAGGCGTACGCTCAAAAAAAAAAAAACCTCCACTGTGTCTAGAAATTATCGGCTGCTAAAGCAAAGTTCAGTGACTGATTTATCGGTCTGCCTGTAGCTCCGTACAGTACAGAGGTAATAGAACCAGAAAAGGGAAAAAAAAAAGAAAAAAAGATTTAGGTATAGTTTTTGATCGCTGGAGATAATCGCACGGAGAGGCACGTAGTTGCACTGAGCAGAGACATGGCTCCGAGGCTCGCTCTCTAGTTTGCGATGAATGATGCTGTGAAAGCAGGGCTCTGATAGGTGGATGTCAGGCATGTTTAACGGCTGTGATCCCTCTCCTCTCGCAGACTCTCTGACCCCTGAGATGGAGAGTGACCGCAGCAGTGGAAGAACAGATGCTGAAAGGACAATACAAGGTACAGGGGCTCAGATGAGACAATAAATCTCTCTCTCCCTCACTTTTGCTCTCTTTTTTTCCCGCCCTCTCTCTGCCTTTTCCACCCCTCCTTCTCCCACCACACACACATACACACGCGCAAACACACGTCTTCAGTTTATGAACATTAGTGTTTCTGCGCCTGCTGTTCAGACATACACCACCATCTGGGCCACAGCACTAGGTCAAGATCATCGGTTTTCCCTAAGAATAATATTATTCTTTTACTTGACTTTTAGCGGCTGCAGGTAAAACCGAACAACCGCTCTCGAAAAAGCTACATATTTACAGCTCGAGACGCTATAATGAGTTATAAAGCCAAAACAAAACAAAAAAAGCAGAGCAACCCCTCCTTTGATACTCATAATCGGAGCAAATCAATCCGTTTTATGAACAAGCCTTGTACATTTTTAATGATTTGTTTGTTTGCTAGCCTTGGGAGTGCAGTTTGTGTTTAAGGGAAGGCCACCGCGGCGATAACCTCCGTCGGACCGCCTTCTATCTGTGTTTACCCAGATCCGAGACACCTCGTGAAAAGGTTGAATATCCTCATTATTGCTCAAACGTCTCGCTTTAATGCACCCGCTCAGAACTGCCCTTATCAGCGAGGAGAGAGGTCCCAATTTACCCTGGGAAAGATGCCGCATGCAATTTGCTTCGAAAAAATAAGGCTGGGGGAGTTTCTGACTTTGCACGCAGAGAATATGTTAGTCGAGTCTTTAATGTGTGATTAGTCTACTTGAACCGACATAAAAACTATAGATGAATGATTACTGCAGATAATTTAGGGCATTTTTAGGCCGTCTAATTGGTATTTTCCCCCCAACCCCCTGAAAGGCGAAAATGTTTCTGTCACAGTTCACTTCCCCAATATCCAGTTCCTTCAGCTTCTTCTTCTTCTTCTTCTTTTTGTGTGACCTTTTGCCTTCGTCGCTTTCGTGTTTTTAGTAAGATGCTTCCTTATATTAGCATCCCTTTAGCATTTAGCAAGCATTGCTTCCCTTTTCCCTTCTCACAGAGGATAATTTTACAAGAGTGGTAAAAAAGGTTGTGTTGATTTGACTGAAGTAACTTACAGAAGCTCAGTCAATAAAGACACTTTAAGTTTGTTTTTTGTTTTTTTCTGACCAAAACAGGTTAAATCCAGAATGTCTTCACGCAATGATGAATGTGTGCTGGTTGCATATTGGTTTATCAATATGCAACTAGAACACAATTTACTCATGTGTTGGGTCTTTCCCAGATGTGAACGAACGCAACGTTACGATCGTTGGAGTTACTCTCTTGAACACAAGGGGTTGCTGTTGAAAAAAACCCAACGCCGCTATGCAGCGGAAATGGCAGCAGAGGAAAAGTAATGAGTTCATGAGGACTTTTGACTGACAAAAGAAACATTTAAATCTACAAGGAGGACAGTAGAGATTAATATTTTTGTCACTAAATCTATTTCTTTTCAGTCTGTTGAAAAGAAATCACGGCATAAAACGACGCAAATTTACTCCATGCAAAAGTTACGTGTAATAAACTAGAACAACACAGGGAAGACGCGGTGAACACAGCCACTGAAATTGATTAAAGACTAAACAGCAAAGCCCCTTTTTGGTAATGACAACTTCAAAACATTTGTGTGGAGAAAATAGTCTTGATGTTTTGCTCGGGGGTTCTCTTGAGACATCCCTCCACACAAGTCGTCTTCAGATCTTGAAGGTTCTCTGGGCCTTTTCTGTGCTCTCGGCGTCGCGGTTCTTTCCAGGAATCGTCGGCGTAGTCAGGTAGTTCACAAGCAGTTTTATCCGTTTGTTTTTCTTCCATATCCTTTGTGGAATATCTGAAATTAACCGCGTTAAAGCCTCACGTCTTATGTTCCACAAGAGCAGTCGCTTTTCAAGCCGAGGTATATATTTATCTATTTTTTTATTTTTTTATTTTTTTTTACACTCAAACCCTGTGAAACAGTTGCGGCTGCGAAAACAGAGTTTATAATTTTCCAGGGTCTCTCAATCACTCTGATCACTGCCTCAAAGAGCGGAATGAGACCGAATAACGCGGCTACACTTTTTTTTTCTGTGTTTTGTTCAATTAGAGAAGCATTTGTCTGCCACCCATGTCTCCTCTACTCTGCTCCGCAAGCCTCGCTGTATAATTAACCTCAAATGGCAAAAAATGATGTTGATAAATTACACAAGCAGAAAGAGGAGGAGGAAGAGAACTCGAGGAGGGTGGGGGGGAGAAAGAAAAAAAAAAAACAAGCCTATCACCGGCGCCGAAGCAGACAGAGAAATGTGTGGGTGCATTCTCGATTCCAAATTCGAGGAAGCAAACGGAGAGGCAGACAGGGGGAGGGAGAAAGAAAAAAAAAAATAATGAGGGCATAATTTTAGAGAACTAATTATTTCTATTTGTCTTTTGTCACACTTCTCTAATTCTGCGATATTAACACAGTCTGTGTTTATTAATTGCTTTTTTTTTTTTTTTTTTTTTTTTTTTTCGGTGTTTTTAATGGGGTCCAAGGAGGGGAGCGCGGCCCTTTTCGCAGGCAGGCGAGCTGCTGGGGGCCCGCGCCTTGCCCCGTTGCCGCCTGGCAACCGGGCGCACATGCCCGTATCTTTCCCCCTGCATCTCCCTCCGCCGCCACCTTCCCCACTCGACGCGTTCGGCGGGGTTTACACGACCCTGCGCGCAGCCAGATAAAGTTCTTTGTTGCAAGATTAAACATCAAAACAGTTAAAGTGAAATTAAAATTAAATGAATGAATGTCACTGAAGCAAAAAAGACTGTAATTAATGGATCCCTTAATTGTCTTCATAAAATATTTGCATGGGCATAATTTGCATAATTTACATGTATTAATTAATCTTTCAAAGGAATTTTGTGCTGAGAGAAGCCAAAAAAATTCCCCTTGTTTTATTTAGCACCTAATGAAATATTTATTCTCTTTAATGAACTTTTCATCTCGATCCGAATGTGAAAATGCGAAAGTTTCGCCGCGCCTTAACGAGGACCCCTGCGAGTCAAGAGGGAACGCCACGACGCCTTTGCGTTTCCGCGCGCGTCGAAAACCTGCTCATCGAGTTCGCAGGTTTGAGCCGCTGGAAGTCAAACGCGCCGATATGCGACATCCCCTCTCGACGGCACGTTAAATGTCATCACGCACCAAACGATCAAATCGCCTTTGTTTTCATTAACGCCCCCGCCTATGAGTCGCCGCTGTGGAGGCAGGCGAGACAAACCAGCGAGGTGATGTTTCATCCTTTCTGCGTCCCGTCGCGCTCGCCTCCTCCCCTCCCGCTGCCTGTTTTTGCGCTTCGCCCTCCGTGGCGCCGCGTTCACGCCGTAATGACTTTCGCGCAGAACTCGGTGGTGGTTGCTGCTCGAACAGAAGCAATGCCTAGGAGACCTACGGCAGTGCCGGGTAATTAGCCCGCGTGTGTGTGTGTGTGTGTGCGCGTGTGTGTGTACACACCCCCCGTTATGAGTTGTGTACACAGTCAGATGCAAACGACAATCTTTTGTTGCCCCCCCCCACTCTGTCTGCGTGAAGCACATAAAACCCCATCATGACAGGTTAAGCAGGCCTAAGCCGCCAGGCCAGGATCTACCGCACATCAAGACGTTTCAACCGGCTAGTCAAAGGCCGTCTCCCGATGTCCCGCTCTGCTTGTGTCATGTCCAACAAGCAGGGCTGCTAAATGTCTTTGTGCGCCTCTTTCTTTAACGCTGAATAATTCAGGCCCGCTTGCCACAGAGACGTTTCTTAAAGGCATTAACTGTAAGCGTTCTCCGGCAGAGAGAGAGAAAAAGGGTGGGTGGGCGGTGAGAGGGGGGGGGGGGGAAATGGGAAGGTAATAAACGTCAGACAGGCTTCGGCGCTGCGCCTAACAGATCTCTTTTTACTGTCTCGGGGAAAAAAAAAAGGTGGCGCTGCTCGCTCAGGCGAACACACGGGCAAGAAGAGAGTCTGTCCGCTTGGCGGTGGCCAGAGCTCAGAGATCACGTGACGGAGCCGTTTACGGTATCCACGCCGGCGACGGCTGCGGCCGAGCTGAAGGCCACAAACGTGTTCACACGGTTTAGGTCGGTTCGATAATGCAGCGGGTTTCGACGGCATTCGTGCTTCTTGAAGTTTTCCACATTTTGTCTCCATACAGTAAACTACTGTTGTTGTTTTTCTTCTTTTTTTTTTTAGATTTCATGTGATAGACAAATAAACTAGTGCATAATCACGGAGTGGAAGGCTGCAGAGATTCATGCTGAAAACTTGAAGGCACAAAAAGAAGTTGTACACTCCATAAGTCTGGCTTTTGTGTCGGTGTCAAGAAAACAAGTCAGTGTTGAAGGAAGCTATAAACATCCAAAATCCCACAGACGACACACCAGATGTGTAGAACAAGGTTTTCTGGCCGGATGAGAACAGAATTGAACATTTTGGCCTACAGTCAAAAGTCCGAAAGGGTCGAAGAGAAATGCATGCCACACTTATCAGCTATTTATGTTTGAAATGTTCTGAGAGCAATGCACCGTTTCCTTTCGCTTCCAAAGTATGCACTACCTGTCACATAATGATCAGAGTAAAGGATATTGAAGTTTGAAGTTTAAAGAATAACAAACGCCATCTAAGAATAGAATGGTCACTGTGTTCCTAATCCAGACTGAAGTCAACCTACTTCTAATTTCTACTTTATTTTATGTATTTAAAAAGCAATAAAGTTAATTACTCCACATGATATTTAATCACATTTGCCATGGCTGCTAACTTTATCTTCTCCCTAAATCAGCTTATGAATTCACAGTAATGCCATTCGAATCCAAAGACTAGAGGGCAATATTTCAAAGTTGCGTTTCATCAACAATCACATCCTGAACAGTGCATTTGCGTCAGCAGATTGTTAGCTGTTGGCTAATCTTTTTGCCTCCTCTCTCTCTCTCTCTCTCTCTGTCTGCGTGTGTGTGTGTGTGTGTGTTCTCTGTTCCAGATGGAAGACTGTTCCTGAAAACCGCAGTGATGTACTGATAAGGCCACGAAGAGCTGGAGGACAGAAAGATTTTATAAAAAAAAAAAAAACAACAAATAAACAAAACAAAAGGACTGAAAGAAAAACCCATGAAGGTTTCGGGGAAGCCCCTAACCCAGGCCGATTTAGTTGAAGAGAGTTCAAGCTGCTCGTAGGTGGAAATGCTGTGTTCAACCCCCGCCCCTCCCTCCCCACCCCAAACGCTGGAGGAGTCTGAATGTACAACGAAGAAGTCGTTCTCATCGCGGAAGGAAAACCTGAAGTAGTTTGACGAGGCAGGTTTTGACGAGGACAGGTTCGCCGACTTGAAGGATAAACACATATAACCGAGCACAGTTAAAGAAAAATTAAAAAAAAACAATAATGTACCCGAGGTGCATTGTTGGTAATAACTCCTAATAAGTTCACAGCACTGAAGATTTTTTTATACTGTATCTCAGCCAGCGAGAAAGCTTTGAAATGAAAATTCGACTGAAGTTTTGTTTTTGTATTTCAAAATAAATCCCGAGAAGCTAAAAAGATTAAAAAAAAAAAAAAATGAAAAAAAAAATAATAACATGAACATTGTGGAGAAAAAGGGGGGGATTAAAAAAAATGTGAATCTATCCACGCGGTCATCAAAAACGAAAGAAGGCCGACGTTCGATTTTCATGTTTTCTAAATTAGATGAAAATACAATCAAGTTCCGTTTTTACCATCGTTGTATATACAAGAGCTAAATGTTAAAGATAGGAAGACTCGCACTCTGCTGAACCCCCGAGTGGACTCGTAAGGTATGTGTATATAACGTTAAGAGGTATTGTGTATGCAGTAGAGCTATTAGGCAAACAATACCACCATTTATATAAACCTTTCTTGTTTTCGTTCTATCTCTGAGCCATCATCCTTTCCTATAGCTGCCATTTTCTGGTGAGAAAGCATGCAGGCATGTAAATGTTTGTCCTGGAATTATGATATTTAATAAATCCTATATTGTGCTGAACAAATAACCCGACTTGCCCAAGCCCGGACAATTCTAAAAAACCATGATTAACGACGTTTCAGTCTCAAAAACGAAGACTTTCGCTGTTGATAGCACTGTAATCTTCGTAACAGAGGTCATACTTCTCGGAATTTCCTGTACATTGTCGTCATGAGACACTCTTGAAATCAGCACCCCTTGTTGCTTTTTTGTTTTTTCCTTTTTTTTTTTTTTCCGTAAGTATCTGGTCTGATTATCATCACGTGCCAGCTTGGAATACAATCAGTTAAGGACGCTACTTTTTAAAAAGCGAATACCACTTTATTACATGGTGTTTAACACGTTTTGTTTTAGTGTTTCATGGATATCCTGATGAGAAAAAAAAAAGAAAAAAAAAAAGAATACTTTCCTTTCCCTAAAGACTTTTGAATTGTGGTGCTGCAACACCTGTGTATATTCTCTAGTCATAAGCTGATGTCAGTCCTTTATCTGCTAAACAATTTAGACCTTATGTGTTACAATCAAAAAGATGAGGAGGAGGAGGAGGAGGAAGAAGAAGGGAAGTGTATCCCATTCACGATGTGTTTGTTCCTTTTTGTTCTTAATGGAGTGTCTAAGTCTGTTGTCACTGATAACTTATATAGCTTCTCGAATCATCTATTTCATTGTACTTCAAATTCAAATAAAGTTAACATGTTGATGATAAACCATGTGAGTTTAAATGGTGTTCCCTGAGGCTTTCGAGGTTCTACATCGTGATAATGATGACGATGCTCACTGTTTTTTTTCCCCACACTTTTCTGTTCAAGTCGGTTCAGATTAAAAGACTATAAGCTGGTAATATCTTACCCCTAACAGACAACTCTTAGCGTGTGCATTTAGCAAAAAGTCACAGTGTTTCTCAGGCTAAAGCTAACAATTAGCTTGAGATGAAAACAGATAAAAAAATAAAAAAAGTAAAAAAAAACTACAGCTGAAAAATGCTTTACCAGTTTTTGCTTGGTAACCTTTGAGCTGCTATTACATTTACACGGTCTACATATTTGCAGTAGTCCATAATAGTCATTTTCTGTCCACAGCTCTGAAGGACATACAGAAACTGCTAGTGGAGCAACACCACAAAGACTTCTTTGTATTTTCAAGTTTCTGAGTTGCCCCAACTCTGGGGAAGAGATGAAAAATCATTTTCTGCTCACAATCTCAAAATAGGATGATCAAACAGATAAATTATCAAGATGAAGATAGTGTTGTTGTCATAAACAAGCTTGAGATGAACGGGGAATTACATGATAAAGGGGGATTATGGATCGCAACCATTTCAATAGTTCACATCATCAAATATACAGTAAAATGCATTAATACGTACAGTGGAAAACATCATAACGCTACACAGACGCTAATACTCTAGTCTTCATTAGCCCTGTTCTTAGAGGTTCAACCAATCAGCGTAAAGCAAAAAAAAAAAAAAAAAAAGCTAGCTAATGGTGTGTCACGTAGCATATTGTACTGACCTATTTTGGTTTCCCAGGCTGCATTTTGTTTCAAATGTAAAGAAACCTGCAAAGAGTGAACCACAAATACGGGGGTTCACTTAACACCTTCTCTTTGCTCGGTGACTCCAATCCTAAAGCCGAGTTTGTTGTTTCTGCAAGCTAGCCGGTGGGTCCTTTAATGTGACGTTATCACAAACCCCCTCTAGTTTTTGTTGTTGTTGTTGTTTTCAAGTCGTCGGCCAGTGTGAGACTCAAGGTGAGTAAAACGAACTAAGACATTCGTTGAGGCTCCGCTCAGGTTGATATTAACTCCAAGAACAAATAACTATATACATTTCGGTATAGTAGGCTACATGTAGAGCAAAGGAAATCACTTTAAACCGCATGTTCTCAATGTGAATGTGAAACATCTCTGTGGGGGGTACTGACTGACACATGGTTGATTCAAAAAACAAACAAGGACAAATGCTCCATTCCCAAAAAAAGGTACAAAATGGTGAAGCGTAAAACCCAACTTCTGGAACAATTTCAGTGATCACTCACTTAGCTAACTGTGGATTAAATATGCAGTTGCAGGTATAATTAAAATCTTTATCAAAAAAAAAAATCTGTATATTAAAAAAAATCACATGTACTTTGCCTCGTGTGGCCCCATTTTTTTTAAAAAATCTACCACCGTGTAACTTCTTTGACCACGCTCAAGAGCCACGCATCAGGATATCTGCTTTAAGCTGTTTTAGTTCTTGTGGTGTTTCAGGCACTTCCAACAGATTTTATTTTATTTTTTAATTGATTAGTTATTCACAAAGTTCCTCAGTTTTACTCCGGGGACACAACGGCTTTCCACAGGGATAATTCCAGAACAGGTACCGCTCCAGAAACACACGAAGAAAAAAAAAAAAGAAATATGAAATCGACATTGAGAGAGAATTTTCTGCTGTAAGCACTTCTGAGTGAAATGTGTTGACACAGCATGTCTGGCCCATTCCCATTTTGCATGCTTTTTAAAGCATGGCCATAACACGGCCACAGAGATGAATAATTGACTGATTGCTGCATAATTCAGTGCTGCATTGTAAAAATTCAAGGCCTGAAATATTTCAAGCTTTTTCTTTCTATTTTTTTGTTCATTAAAAATGAGGTTAAAGTTTCAATCAACCTTGAAAGAACAATACGACACACAGTGGGCAATCAATCACGAGGAAGCGGCGCTTCTCGTCGAGCGCGGGCCCGCGTTGGGCGCTCGCAGCTCGGCCCCCGAAACTTTAGCTCACTCTGGAGTGAAAGAAACAAAGGGACGACGTCCACCTCATTCATTTAATGGCTCCGTTTCTTTTTCGGTGCAGCGACAGATTTAGTCCGCTCACCTCCAACGAGCCCGTGTGAAGTGGGCTATTACTCACATATTCTGTTTATTTCTCCATCTGAAGCCCTTTTTTTTCCCCTCCCCTCTCCTCTCTTTCCTCTCCTGCACTGGCACGTGAAAAAGGAGGCCCCGCAGCTACATGTTTCATATCACTGCACATTTTGTAATAAATTCAATTCAGTACAAATATGACCATGAGGCACGAAGACTTTAAATACCAAATGTGCATTATAGATGTGGTGTTGCTTTGCACTTTTGCCGTTCTGCGGAAAGGCGCATTGCTGATTACATATTCAGAACTTAAAAAAAAACAACCAAAAAAGAAAATACTTCGGACGGTTGTCTTTGATTCACTTGGATTCGCGTGGAGATGCACTCATAAAGACTGTATGTCTAGATGTGATTATTCCGCCTTCTCCTGTTTTGCTTAATGTCACACGCTGCACAATTTGTTGTTTTCTTACTCTGTCTGACAAGATGTAGGGTTTATTTAAGTGTAAACGACACGTGTCGTCATATTTTAGAGCCAGAAAACGTAAAAAAAAAAAAAAAAAATCTTTCAAGTTTGAAACAGAAGTTTTTTTGTTTTTTTTCCCCCCTCCTGTTGTAACAATATATGAGGGTACTGACATGGCGGATAATGATGTTTGTAGCATCTCTGTTGATAGAAAATTGATTGGTTTCTTGAGAAAAAAAAAAAACTTTTTAAACTGGGACACGTGGCGTGGGCGTGTGGCCATTTAGTAATGCAGGCAAATGATTTAGAGAAATAATTAATGTGCAGAGGCGTTCCCTGCATCAGTGGCGCCCTGAACAAGCTACTCCAACTGATTTTGTGCAAGACAAAACAAAATGCAAGTGCAAGTGTTGTCAATGTATCTGAGGCAGCAAGCACTCAACAAATGAGCCCTTTTGGCAGCGCATGTATAAAGGGGAGTGGAAATTTGTTCACCCCATGATTACCAAACATATATATATATATATATATATTTTTTTTTTATATCTGGGGGTCATGCCACACCCTTCTCTTTATTTGTTCCTTAGGCCATCCTGTGCAGCTGCCCATATCATAAACCGCTACTGTCTCTGTGGGAAAGATGGAGGAGATTTATTGGGGGAGCGGGAAAAACTCCAGGAGGCAGGAGGCAGTTCTTCTGACTCATCAGAAATGCTCTCTCTTAAAACACCTTTTATCCGAGGATTATGAAACAAATAGAAACTGAGATTTAAGTGAAGGAGCGAGTCTGAAGGGAAAGGCTATACCACACTTCAAGCTGCAGGGACCACAGGGAGTAAATAGCGAGGCCACAAGGGGGCCAAAGCTGTTTGTGAGCACAAAGTTTCTGATAAAACGCTGTCTTTAGAAAAGCTTAAGGTTTCGGTAAAGATGGCTTTTGACCTCCAAGACTCTGAATATTAATATATTCATCACCAGGTATTAGAAGGGCTTGTTTGCTGTGATGTTAAACGGTATTTTCTAATAATTGATGAGATGAGAATGGATTGAGGTGTAATTTTTAA